CTATGTATTTTTCCTGCTGAAGGAAGGAGAAGGGAAAAGAGAAAAAACAAAGGGGGGGGGGGGAAAATGAATGTGCAGCTCTGTGTCTGTCATTTCTCAACCAAGGTCTGTAATAAGAACACTAAAATTTTAACATACTCCATTCACGGCCATGTTGAATCCCATGATAGTTAATTTTTCCTGACAGACTCGGTCCTGGTAATGAACAGGTACTTGTCAGACTTGCCACAGTTGTTTTGGGTTCTCTGTCAGTTTCAGCAGCTGGGGGTCAGGGGTCACCAGGGGGGGGTATTCAGTGGAGACCGCGAGACAGACGGCTGTCATGTCCTTTTCCTGCAGATTCAAAATGGTGAACAGAAAGCCTACGTCTTGAAAAACAAGCAGCTGACAGGGCCAACAAAGGGGGTCATCTATCTTGAAATAGATGTGATTTTTAATGCTGTAAGTCTTAACTTTGGGTTTTTTGTACTGCTAAAGAGTTCAGTTTCATGAAAGCTTTTGTTCCTGATTTGTAGAGAATTTCTGTCATTCCTCATTTTCTCTAAACCTTGATGTATACCACAGAATACTCTTCTGCCACTGCCTGGCACACCCACTCTTTTTGTTTCTGCTGCCACTGCTACTATTGCTGCTAATGCACGAAGCAGCAGCCTTTGCCTCTGTGTGCATCTGTGTGTCCTGAGCTTGGCAGCTGTGACTTTGAAACTTCATAATTTTTGCAAGTCGGAGCATGTGCTTTTAGTTAGAAGCAAGTAAGCTTGAAATATTGACATACATTTTAATGCATAGGTGAAAGCCAGCGTGCGAACCTTAATGCCCAAAGAACAGAAGTACATTGAAGAGGAAAACAGACTGTCTAAACAGGTAAAGAGTAAGGAAACACTAATCCTATCTAAAAGCCTTAATATCAAGTGTGCACGTCTAAATATCTGGTATCGCACTGCTGAGGGTAAAGAATAACATTTTCATTAGCTGTTTACAAAAGAATATGATAGGTAGAATGAAGCAGAAACAAAATACGTCGTTTTATTGTATCTCTTCTTTATAAACTGCAACTTAAATTCCGTGAAATAAGTGAATAAGAACACAGTTCAAAACATCAGGTTCCACACATATCAGATTATAGTGCAGGTGCATGTAAGCTAAGTCTTGCATAAATCTTTGCTGTTAACCTTGACCTGAAAGACTTCCATTTTTTTGCATGGTAGAGAGGCATTAAGCATTCTTATCCCAAATTTTAAACAAGTTCATGGAGTAAGGTTTGAATCCCAGTTGGAGGCAAACTAAAACTTATTTTAACTTTTCATTATACCCGAGCTATCTGGATAAGAAATGTGTGGACCTTGTTTCTTTTTCTCCTAGATGCTCTTTCCACTGATAGTTTTAATGTTTGTTAAACGATATTTAAACACACATCTTACCTTTTTCTGCATCTGAACTACTTTCATTTTAAATTTTTCCTTAATATGAATGATCTATTCTATATGGGAGAACTGAGCTTTTGGTTAAACTGTAGTAATAAGGTATTTTGTTCATTAACAAAGAAGTCTTTGAACTGGTTTTTATTTTGAAGAAAACTTGCATAATTTGTGTTGTCTGCTGGATGAATTGTAGATTATCTATTCAATATATTTCATTTATGTTATTCAAAAAGCAGAATATTTCTTTCTGTACTCTTTTTTGATGTTACTAAAGCTGCATTTTTCATGTTATGTCAGTCAAGAAACAGGAAGGCATTTTATTCAAGGTTCATTCTTCTGCCCACTTTTATAAGAGAAAATCATCGTCGTTTCTGAAGATTGCAGGAGGAAAACACTTCAAATATCCAACTGTTGTTTAGGTGTTGTTTTGTTTTGTTTTAACTTACATGGCATATCCCACCACAGTAACACCTAGAGGGAAAAAAAAAAAAGGAATTCTTTATATATCAGTAATGCAGTAGCATTTCAAAAGATCCATAAGTTCTGGGAGAGAATGTATCTATACAGCATTTTCTATGCTATTCAACACAGAAATTGAATGAATAACCTCTTTGTGTACATTTATTTTTATCAAATGTTCTGCCATTTTAGTAGACTTATGGGTAATCTCCTGAATTAAACGTAAACCCATTATATTTCATTTTGATGTAGATGCAGTTAAAGTTATTTTCATAAAACACTTAAAAACACAGGGTGATGAGAAGTTGTTATGGAAACAGTTGATTTTAGAGGAGTAATTTTGCATGGTTTTGGGTTAGCATCTTGCAGCATCTTTTTTTTTTTCAAAAGGTAAGAATTTTCTAAATACTTAAGAGTAGGGACAGTGTCACCTGCTCAGTAAGACTCTTGTATGCTGATAACAAAATTGTTCATGATGTTTGTAGCGGCTTTTGTAAAATCTCAAGCTGCCACTAAGCTGTGAAAGTAAAGAGAACAAGCAGTATATCAGTTAGAAATAAATCCAACAAATAAAAATTTGCACATTTATCTAAAACTCTCCCAAGTGTCTCTAAGTATTCTCTTTGTGTGAGTTGGACAGCTTTTTTCAATCTTTGCCCAAATTAATAATGAGAATATTATAAGGATGGACCTCTTCTGAAGCTTTTGGGGTTTTGAAATATTTTTGTTCTTTCGTCTTTTTAATAGCTGCTACTAAGAAACTTCATTCGCATGAAGCGTTGTGTCATGGTGCTCATAAATGCCGCCTACTACATTAACAGTTGCTTTGACTGGGATTCACCCCCAAGAAGTCTTGCTGCTTTTTTGGTAAGATCTTCTTTATATTGCTATTAATCACCATTGCATATTTACGCTGTAGACTGACAGATGGTGCAGTGCTCATGTGGAGGTATCTGATTGCTTGTTTCTTTTGAAGTTTTGTTTAAAACTAAGGATATCAGAAATCATTTTTATTCACGTTTTTAAGAAGTAATTGTATAATGTCATACAAACAATATAGTCTTCTAGATATATATACAAATGTGCAAATAAAAAATGTGATACAGCATAATACAGCTACTGAACTATACATATTTAGCTATTCACAGGTTAATATGCATATGGAATACTTACCTGATGCCTATTGATGAAAGAAAAACGGAATTACATCCTGTCCTCTTTGTCCAATGATGTTCTTTCTTTCCCTTGGTGCACAATTGTGGGCCATGGAAAAAGTTGTGTTGCTCTTAAATCATGCTGATTTCCAGTCACAGAATGCATTCGGTGGCATAGTTGGAAACACATCAAATTTCATGGGAAGAGCTGTTATTTGATTACTGTAGTTTTAGAGCATTGCAGTAGAAATGTCTTCCTGATAAAAGCTTGAGTCTTTTCAGTTTTCTTTTAGTACTTATTTTGCCGTGTGGTAGTTGTGGGTACATTCTGTCTGCACTGGTAGTATGTAGATCTGCTTCCAAAGGCTTGATCTCTGCTTCTCATTCTGATGGTATTTTGTCCAAGGATCACATCATCCTACTGTAGAACAAAATATACTCAGCATATTTTTTATTAGCTGAGTCAAATCTACATGAACTTTCATCATGATTGTGAAGTTTGAACTGAGTTGTTTTCTGGAGATTCATAGTTATCATTGGTCCACAAGGAATCTCGTGATCCATCTTTGGAGTGGTTCACTTGCACATGTAATGCTGAGTTGTGCTTGCACACAGATTAAAGTGGAATTCAATAGATTCTATTAAAAAGCTATACTGTTATGTATCATTTTCATCTCTTTGCTGTTATACACATTGTGTCTCCTCTTGAAGTTGTCTCCCAGAGGTTAGAGCATGTCACAGTGAAATGTCACACTGAAATCTCGAGAAAGAAGATGAGAAATAGGCCATTTTGCAAGTTTCCAGCCCTGAAGACAGATAAATAATGTGTTAAAATTAAACTTTTAAACTAGCTGTTTCTTCCTTCTTGTTGAATTTGAAGACACATGCTGATAGATAATATCCCAGTACAAACTTGCAGTCATTTCATGAGCGAAGTATGTGAGGGTTGACTTTTCAGACCTTGGATTTTCCGGAATTAGATACCCTTTCTTCATACCTGATCTCTTTGCTTTCCATACCCATCTCTTTGCTTTCCAATGGGGCCTTTCTTAAAGAAGACAATATATGAAGAAGCTCTGTTTTACTAGCTCAGTTTTCATAAGTATAATGGTTTAATTATGATTAATAAAAGTCCTGGAAAGCAGGATTACGCTTGGAAAGCCTGGATTAATATGATGACTTTATAATAAATTGCAGTTATCTGCTTTATGCTATTTGCATGCTGAAGTGTTCACCAGTTTTTTTTTTTTAAATCGTTCTTCTTGGAGAGTCACAGTGTTAGTAGAAGAGACTGAAAAGTGCTGAGTGCTGTTACTTACACTGTAGAACTTATGTTACTCAAAATTTAAATTAGTGTTTTATCATGTTGCTCTTCGCTCATTCTTTCTTAGTGCTATCCAAACCTACCAGCTCAATAACTGGTGTTTCACATGCTACACATAGAAGTTTTCAACATTCTGGATTATACATTTCCCATCTCAGACAGTATTTTGTCTGTTTTTGTTTTACTTCATTGCTTTCGCAGGGGATTTTGCCTGAATGACTTTTTTTTCTCTTTTTTTCTCTTTTCTTCCTCCTCTCCTTTTTTTCCCCTTGTGCCTCAGTAATTCACAGGAGAAGAATAATTGCCATCTAGATGTATTTTTTTAATTTTTGTTGCTGAAATTATTGTGACATATTATTGTCATGGACTTCTTTTTTATTCAGATATTCAAATTTACAAATAGCTTGTGAGACATAGGTTGATCTAACTACACTCACGTGACTTTGGGTTTGAACTACCAGATGTTATATTAAATAACAGAGTGTGTTACCAGTTTGAACTTAACACTTCTGAAGCACCTAAATACATTACAAAAGAACAGAATGCATGCGGAGAGCCCTTGCCGTAAATTCACTTTAAAATAAATTTCTAGATTAATTTGGAAGTTTATTTTTGCCCGTAATAATTAATGTACTATGCTTAAGGCAGAAAAACTGTATGAGGATATGCAAAAGTTGTGTGTTTTTCTTTAGATTAATATACTGTGGGCACAGAAATGTCCACTAAATTGGGCCTAATTTCCATCAGTTTCTTGGCCAGACATTTGTGTTCTTGCAGATGTCAGTGCATGCAACGTAGGGGGAAAAAAGTGTGTACTCTTCTTTTTCCAGTACTGTCATTTCTCACCGTAATGAGCACAAAAATAATTGGACAACTGTGCTATCAGTAAAAGGACACACTTCAACATGAGTCAATGAATTATTTTACGGGACAAACTTTAATCTTTAAATGTGATTGTAGATAATTTGTGCTACCATCTGTCCATTTGGAATTCTTTTAGCCTTTTCAGTCGTTATACAGTAAGTGCTGCTGTGTTTAACATTAGCATTTGATATTTTACACATTTAATTTCTGTACTGCTGCGTGGTCCTTGGGGAGCTTCGCTCTAGTGCTACATGAGAGAGACAAAGTATTGATCAGTTAACATTTCAGCTACATTTATGTATGTCGCAAAATTAATGAAAATGCCAGACAAAAATGTCAGAGTGCACAAAAAGGTAGAATTTAAATTTGGTAGTTTAATGAAAAGTTTAAGATGTGCATTATCAAAAATGTCCCCTTGCCTTTAAAGTACAATTCATAACTGAGTAGCTAAAAGGAGATACGTATTTTACTTAGAAGAATATTGAATATGAAATATGAGTGAATGTTAAATCTTCAAACTATTTGGTATCCCAAAATGGCCTCTGTAAAGCGCTTTAATTGCCTGCTTGAACATATAACTGTTACTTGTAAAATAAACTTTCCTTTCCAATTTGTAAGCAGAGTACCCTTGCCTGATCACACGCAGACTTTTCAGTATGTCCTCAAATTAAAGTTTTATGTGAACATATTCTTATTCCTCTGAATCTTTCTATATATGTGCATGCAGGCACACAGAAAGTATTTTCTTTCTTAAGCTCTGAAATATTGATAAAATGATGCACCCTGCATCTGAGTCATTTGTCAGGTCTAACTCACCTTCTCTTTGTCTTCTAATGTTACACAATTCTTGTGCAGAAATGACATATTAGTCCCTAGCCTTTGATTAAGAGCTAGTTCTCTTGCACACGCACCACTTAGTAGTGGTGGTGTCATATATGTTAATGGAAATGAAGAAGAAAACAACTAAAAAAGAACTGGCAGGAAATGAGACTGTGAGATAATTTAGTCAACTTTAGTAACTTTTTCCTGTTGAACAGGGAAATACTCTGTATCATGTATTTCAGAAGTGAATTTCACTAAAAGCTGAAGAAAAAAAAATTATCATACCATTAAGGGTAGAAATGTGTTTAAGTGTTAAACATTAAAAAAAAAAAACACTGTAATTTTATGAGAAATTTATGAGATATATCTAACAACATTAATAAGATTTTGTTTTTGTGAATACCATTTTTGAGGATCTAACATATAAATACTGTCAATCTGATCTTTACTAAACCTGGTGGAATGGGTTGTCTTTGCCAGTTTGCCACCTGTTGCCTGTAATTTGAAATTGGATAGAATGCTGGTAAGATAGTTGTGAAGAAAAAAAAAAAAAAAAGAAAAAAAAAGAAAAATGAAAACTTTTTTGTCCTAAGGTCCTAAGAAGCCTTTCCAAAATTCTTGTTGGTGTCAAAACTGCTTGCACCCAAACAATAGACTTCAAGAATATAAGCGTACAGATACAAGATTTATTTTTGATGCAAGGCACACATACAGGAGTTTTCAGCTATTTATCCCCATGAACAGGAAAGAGAATGAGATATACCAGACTGTTGTCATTCTGTTTTTCCAGAAGAAAAGCCAGACAGAAAGAAGAGCTATCTAAATCCTGTTTGCCTTTCCTGGTTTTCAGTAGACCAGCAGAACTGTGTGAGACTGCTGCAAATACATAGCAGAAGTTGACTTTTCTTCAACACTTTGTAATAAAAAGCAAAAAAGGGCTGTATGCCAGGCTTTGGGCAGTAGGATAGGACAGAAGCATATATATACACCACATCTTGGTGTATATGACCACTGAACACTTCATCACCAGCAGCCGTTACAAATCCTAGTGTGCTTAACTGTAGCAGTTGAGGAGAGATGCTGATGTGGAAAAACTTGCTATCATCAATGCATGCCTACTCCAGTATTGTGATGACTTCTGAGGTGCGATGTGTTTGGCATATTGTGTACTTGCAAGTCTGATGCATGGAAGGACTGGGAATGTTTGTGTGTTTAATAATTTCCTCTAGTATTTCTTTTTGATGTTTACTTTCATTTTACCTCCTTCAAAGAGTGAATTCATATTTGCTGAACCTGTTTGGTAGCATGATTCATTGTGTGAGTGCAGATTTGTTGCCATTGTAGATAACATCATGTGTGCTGCATGCCATCCAGGTGCTGTTCCAGGGCAAGTGTCTTAGGGTCTGTGTCACATCTGTGGTCATCTTCCCAGTGACTGGGATACCCACCCCAGAACATTGTAAATGGTACTATCTCTACCTCTAGGTACTTGAATTGAACTCACAGCTGTTTGTTTCATCTGCATATCTGTCATGGATATTATCTAGCTTCCATACTGAGTTTTGCATAATTTTGAAGTGTTTCATTTCAAAAATTCCTTTATATTGTGTAGAAATACTTCCATCATTCTGCATGCACAGTTGAGGTGAAGAGCCTTTATTGTTTCTCAGACGGGAAACACACAGCAGATGAAGGCACCGGTA